CATGCACACATGCCACATGTGCATTTTATTATTCACACACAACACACTGCCTTCATAGCCACTGGCTTCCCACAGGAGGAGTGTGCAAAGACATTTAGTTCCACAGTCTTTTTCCTCAGCCCCTTTCCCTGCCTCACAGAATTACCGGGCAGTAGTGCTAGCTGGACCTGTCTAAACCACCGGACCAATTTTGCAAGCCAGGGTGTGGGCACTTCTCCTTTTTTCTTTTCTCCCCTTTCCCCTCTGTCTGCAGCCTTTCCACACTTTTACTCTGTCTCCACCCAGCTGTGTGTAAGTTGCAGCAGATTTATGTAATGGCAAGCTCTTGTGGTTGCCTGGTGGCCCCTCAGCAAAGCTTGTGTCCATGCTCTCAAATGACTGAGCTCCTTTTAAGGAAATAAAGCACCAAAGCTGCTCAGAATGGGGACACTTTCCTGCACCAGTAACTAGCTAGTCATGCAGGTTACCACCTCTGAATGCCCATGGCTGGGAGGGAAGATCCCTGGGTTGAAGACAATGCCAGGGTTCCAGTGATGCCAGGCACTGAAGCCTGCAGCTATAAAGGCTTCTGCTTCAAAAACTGGATTGAGGGAGGGAGGTAACATCATCACTTGATATTTCCCCCTGGAGGAGAAAAATGTCAAAAAAGCACTTTCCTTTTACCGTCTCTTCCCATACTAGTATCCTTTATTTTAAACAAATAGAATTTATAATTTCATAAAAATCCCATCTGTTTTCTATTGATGTCTAAGTTCACCTTGACTTATTACTTTGGACATTCTCTGTCAGTTGTACAAGTTTCAATCTAATTTGGTGAGATTACTTCTCCCCGCCTCTTAAAAATAAGAAGATCTGTAGACATTGTATATTCCTGGTCCAGACTCTAATCTGTGACGATGGTGGTAACCCTTTGCTTCTGTTTTGGAAGTTTATGGTCACCTGCAGCCTCAGACAGCTGTCTGTGCAGAAACAGGGAGCCCACAGCCTCTTTTTGAGGCCACTAACACAGTGAGATGGGTTTTTGTCTTTTACCCAGTGATGGCCAGCTCTGACATGCGCAGTTATGGATAAAGAAGGTACTGCCTACCTTCCTAAGCAAATGCCACCACTGCAGCAAATGGCTCTTTCTCCATTAAGTAGGGTCCAATCCACAGCCCACTGAATCATTAACTTTCCACACATGGATCAGGATACAGTCTCAGAGCACAAACAGCCTTAAATTTCAACTGTCTACCACACAGAGGATGTTCAGCACCGATCATCCACAAAAGGTGCACACAATGTTTAACCTGAAACTTGAATGGAGACAGTAAGAATCATCAGACAACATTTCAAATAGGTTAGCATGGGAAATAGCGCTGTCCGAAATAGGCAACAAAGCACTAATTCTTAATGGAATGGAATTTCAGTGGGATGTGTATTTCTAAATAACTCAGACCAAAATTTTGAAATGTTATTTAGGAGAGATGGTAAAACACAGTCTCTAGTGCCTTAAAGAGCTGTGAAAATCAGCTGTGCTGAAAACATTCCCAGTGTTTTCTAGAGAAACTAAATGTAGAGCAGGTGGGTGAGAAGAATAAAAAGAAAATAATAAAAAAATGTTACAGGTGCCAGATCTGGGGTGGAGAATAGGACCAAGAAGGAAGAAGATCTATTGGACAGAGCAGCAGAAATTAAGCTTGCAGGAGGAAACTGCTCAACACATAGTGGCATTCTGGGGGTTACAACATTAAAGTCATAGCAAGCTCATCAAGGAAATGAGCAGTGATCAGAACAAGTCTTTCAATGTGTTTCTGCTTTGCTGTGCTACTTGAGGTTATTACTAGAAATAGTTGATGACTTTACTTCCGTAAATTACCTTCTCATATTTGCTAATCATTTTTACATTGATCAGAAGCAACCCACGTCTTGGGTGTCCCCCCTGTCTGGGGACACAAGTCAAAACATACATTTCATGAACCTCTGGATACCTCCCTCCAGTCATTTTAAGTGAGAACTCAAAAACTGAAGGCACCCAATAAAATCTGAGAAGTGAATGGAAGACTTCCAACATCATTCCCAGAGCAGGAGAGATATTTCAATCAATTCTCTCTATCAGCTCTATAGTACCACGTTCAAGTCTCATTATAGGTTTGGAAGAATCATGAAAGGAGATTTTTGAAAACACATAGAGGAGCTAAGGCCTATCTTTCTTTTCTAAAAATAGCTTATTTCCCCTAATCTTTGACTTTTAAAATGCTAAATTGATGAAAAAGGTAGTTAAACTTTTGATTCCAGGGTTAAAGATTTCATGAAGTGCTACTGATAATTCAAGTAAGCAAATGGTCATTTGAACATTTCTATCTCACAGGCTGTTTAAAATTAACAACAGAATTCTCACCTAATTTTAGTAGGATGAGGCAAACACTTACTCTTTTCATTTAATAAACTTGCAATTCCCATTGTTACCTCTACAGTACTACACGTACAAAAAAGTCCATTAGAATGTCGACGCTCTCCTCCATAAATGTCTGACTCAAATTCCTTGGTGCATGCTGTATGGACAGCTGATCTCTCAGGGTCTTACAGATTAAGTGAGATGCACTGAAAATCCTATGTTAAAATACATCAAAATTCATAGGGATTCCCTTCTGATGAAGGAAACAGATAGGACATTAGGAAAGTAATATAGAGAAAAACTGTTGCCTGGCCAGTCAGTTATCACAGGCCACAGTCTATCTCCCACCCACGAGATATACATCTATAATATCAGTGGGTCCTTACATTACTCTCCTGTCTATCTTTCATTCTTCAAACTACTTTTTCATCCTTTTCTACTTAAGTTTGTTGATAAACAGAGGTGATAAACTGATCTTGGGACTTAGAGACAATAGTGTTGCACTAAACATCAAGCCTGTCTACACTGCCAAGCTACTACCTACATAAAAAGACAGTCTCCTTCATCCCTACTGCAGCTATGGAATCATGCAGGCCAAACACCACTCCTAAGGTATTGGTTTATTCCCTAAGGGATTTTCTTTTGATGAAGACCCAGAATGTGCATAGCAATCATATGGCTCCTGATATGATTGGGGCATGTGTTCAGATCCTCTTTGTAAAACCAAAGAATTAATTTTTTCAGTAGACTCTTTTCAGAAAGTTAGTTTAGGGCTAGAAAAAAGGAGCAGTAGAAGCAAAGGTTGTATGCAGCTTTCCAGAAAAGACAAACATTGCAAGAAATGCAGTTGATACCTACAGATCTTCCATAAACCAGAGTATTGTGTCTGTTTACTATGTTCAATAAGACATCACTACAAGATGTAACCCTTGTAAACAAAAGAGCTAAGGGGTAGAGAAAGCGGCTGTAGAAAAAACGTTGAAGACAGGACATGGAAAATCTAATTTACTGCTTACTAATGAGAACAACAGATAGAACTTATCATATTTAGGGCACTAAAGTTATTACAGTAACTTCTAATATGTATTTATATCGCTATATGATTGAACTGTTGAAAGAATCATGACATCATCAGCAAATAAAAAGTTTGACTTTTGTGAAGTAAAGAAAATTCAATGCAATCAAAAATCCTGTTTGTTTGGGTTTGAACAAAGAACTTAAAAAATTATTACTATTTTTTAAATTAAGGCTTAAATATTTTGTTGGGTTTAGTTACTGTGGGAGAAAGGAGACTTAACTCTTTTTATTGAGTTGATATGCAAGCAGTTAAGGCAAGATTTTGTCCAAAGATCTTCGGACTGAAAAACAAAGCACTAGGTAAGTGATCAGACTATTTAAAAGCATTTTTAAAAATGAATTTGTTCATAAGGTATGTCAATATACATGTAGGAGCTGAACTTTGTGCTCAGATTTTTGGTAAGAGGGGATCAAGTGGTAAATAAAGTGAAGATGCATAAGATGCTTCTCTACTAGCCATTGCTGAAGTTTGGGAGCAGGTTCTATCCCTAATGCTGAAACCATCCTGCTGTATTACCTTCAGTTGGTTATTTTGCCTTCTGTGCCTCCCTTCCCACCTAACATCCTTTATTGGACTTCCTTAGACAATAAACATTTGAAGGCAACTGCAATCTTTCTATAAAAAGTCTTCCACTTTGACACTCATTCTTACAATAGGAATGTAAAAATGATGAGCAATACTTTTATTTGTGGACAAACTAATGTATTTTGATAGTCACTCCATTCCAGAAATATTTTTATCATATTGGGCATTGATCACAGCATTCTGGGAGTCAGTATGCTTTTCTTTTTTCCCCTTTTTCTTACCCCTCCCCCCACTAGTAAACAAGCATGGTGCTCAAGTTATATCATTTAGTCTTTTTTAATGCACTACGTGTGAATGGATGCACGCATTAGTCATTGCTAGTCCTTGGTGTGGAGTCTGGGATCTCTAAGAAGAATCAGCATTTTGCACAATCATCTATGGACAATAATTTATTTTAACCCAACAGATTTTATCAATTGTGGATTTTTACCTAGTAGAGCAAAATTCAAGTGTTTTCTAAAGTACTGCCAGGCAAAAAAATCAAGGGTAAATGAAGATTCAATATTGGAATCTGAAACATACGAATACTATGTGTGTTCTAATGTGGCATTTCTGGAGAAATCTGAATAGCAGATAACATTCAAGATAACATTCAAACTAATAATAATAATGAAAATATCTGAGAGTTTAGTGAATTTTTATCAAATCTGAGTTCAAATAATTTTGACTTGGAATAACATATTTAATTCCATTTCCGAGGCAAAATGGAATATCTTTCCTGGAGAGAATTTTATACAACCAGTCATGCTTTAGAAAGAAGATAAATAGTAGCATCTTTGTAACTTCTCTGTGGATGAATATGCCTTTCCCAAAGAAAAGGTTGCACAAAAAACAGTAAGCACCTTAGCAAGACAAAAAGGCACAGGACCTCCCTATATACCAGCTTGTTATACAGTACTTTAACATTATCTACTATATTATCTACTCGTAATTCTTATCAGAGTGGACTTGTCATCTTACCCAAGATTCTGTCACTCTTAGAACTCTGTTGTCCTCCAGTACTAGTTGAAAGGTCCTCTGGCACAGGCATAGGTTCATCTGGATCATCTGGGACATCACTAATTGGAGGACTTTCCTTTCCTAGTTGTGAAGAAAGTAGCATCAATTAGTCATCAGAGTAGCCTCATTTTCAAATATTACCATAAGAGGAACCACAAACCAAATAAAACTTAACAAAAAACCCTAAACACTATCTAAAGTATGATATTCTTAGGACCAAAACCTACTCTCCTGCAGAGAAAACTTTTTATGAGTACAGGGGAATTATATTTGTGAAAACAATGCATGCCAATATCTCTTCCAAATTTATTGAAGGCTGGATACACAGTTATCAGCCTTACCATTTTGGATATTTGTAAGACACAGGTATGTTCTCCAGCTGCTACATTCAGAAGATCCAGTTTAGCCAGTGCAGACTGACAGATTAAAAAGGTTATCAAATGGACATCCTTTGTAAAAAATTTTCTTTCTTCCACAAGTGCTCCTTGAAAGCATACCCAGATTTGCTTCAAAGACATAGTGAAGTCTAACCTACAAGTATTCTGAGGCTCCAAAAGAACTACCCCAAAAGTAAAATTTTATCTTCAAATAAAAATTCAACTACAACTTCAGCAAGCTTCACCAACACCCACAGATCAAGCTTTGGCTGGTCCTTGTGATTAAAAGCAGTGACATGCCTGTAGCTCCCAGGATTTCTTAAAACACGAACAGAGTTCATTCAACACATGACTTCGAGGGTTTTACTGTCTTTTATTTGCAAAGAGGAAACAAAACCCAATATTTTGTGTACACAAGGTTTTGCAGAGGAAAACAGTTTGGTGTTTTAATGTATAACAAGTATTGTGGAACTGTTTTAGTGCTGAATGCAATACAGTAAGAAAAAGAACTCTCTTGCTAAGTACTGCACTTCCAGAAATAGTGATGTTTCTTGGTTCCGCTCTCAGTCACAGCACACATGTCCTGCCTACAGTAATATCCCTGTCTTGCAGACCTTCTTTTAAAATTACTAACAAAAGCACCCCTTGGAAACAATTACCAAAAGAATTATCTAAGTGATAATTATCTAAGTGATTAGTTTCATTTACTATTACTAAAAGGCTGGTCTTTGCATTAATAGCAAAGAATAGAACAGGCCCAGAGCAGGATTTGAACTCAGTAATGTTCACATAAGACCCTTGTCTCCAAAATGGAGATGTTACCAAATTACATTGATGCAATCTGTTAGACGTCCCGTGGCAATCGGCACACCAGCAAGGGCAGTAATTTCATGGCACAAAGCCCTAGCAAATTAGTGGTTTTTCTCCTAATAAGAATTCCCTCATTAAAACACAAATGTAAATTAAATCTGAAGATATTTATCAGAAAAGGAAAAACTGAAGAAAATATAGCTTACTTAAGTGACAGCAGTTTAGTGATGCCAGTTATGGACTTGATCTGAATGAAGCAAATAGTTTCCTCCCAGCTGGATGGAGCAAAAAAGAAAGCATTGTGCTTTCTGATCTATACTGATCACAATGGTGGGAAATGACAGGTAGGTTCAAGTAGTCTTCCAAATGAGCTGTTTTGGCTTGTTTGCACAAATCTATGTTTAAATGAATGATATGAGTATTTGACTGCACTTCTTAATGACACACCTATCAAACTGTGGAATAATCTCTGAGTGGGAGTGTTGAGAGTGGCATCAGGTGAACCATCTAAAACTGCAGCCAGAAGGACTCAAGGGTAATGAAGAAACAATACTGCACTGGCAGAAGGACTAACTAGGGGATTTCATAAGGTCCTCCCATATCCAGCTTCTGTGGGGTATTCTTAAATGGGCAAAATCACACCCACTGGATGCAAGTGTAAGAGCAAAGGTGGGTTGCATAAATGGAAAAGAGGGAATATGAATGTTACAGCAAAGGAAAGTAAAAGCAGAAAGTAAGTTCTTTAAAACAGTTTTTGCCATTTACCATTTAGCTCCTTACTCAGTTATTTCTGTAGTTTTCTGGGATGTAAGGAACTTATAGAACTACCAGCAACTTTCCAACACAAGTCCGATCCTGCCAAGCTGAGGTATCTGTTACAGATAGGATGGATGGGAGGAAAGACAGCTGAAATCTTTCAGTTTGTTCAACACATTTTCCAGCACACAGTAAAAAAAAAAAAAAATCCCCACAAGTTTAATGGGAGGGTAAGCGGCAGCCTGGCAGCTCTCTTCACACTATATGTGGGTTAAGGAAATTTGTTAAAAACTAACAGTATCCAAAAGCCACCTGCATCTTCCAAGGATCAAACTGTGCTCCCAGTTACAACAACAGAAGCTGATGCTTTGACTTAGACTAAGAACATTTACCCTAAGAACCTGAAGACTTTTTTTGGTTACAAACCAATATAAACTCATAACATCAGACCTATGAGATAACAACAGACAGTAAACAAAATAAAATATTTCTTAGTGTGTCATTAGCTGTCCTACAATATGCAGGTGTAGTGGGTTTCTGTGGCTGGGTTTGGTAGCAGGGGTGGAGGTAGGGGCTACAGGGGTGGCTTCTGTTAGAAGCTGCTAGAAGCTTCCCCTGTTCAGTGGAGCCAATGTTAGCCAGTTCCAGGATGGACTTCCTGGCACTGGCCAAGGCCTCTGTGATAACATATTTAAGAACAAAAGGTTGTGGTGCAGAAAGAATTCCAGCCAGGGAAGAGTGGAATGAGAACATGGGAACAAAAATGCAGACACCAAGGTCAGTGCAGAAGGAGGGGCAGGAGGTGCTCCAGGCACCAGAGATGAGGCCCTTGCAGCCCGTGGTGCAGACCATGGTGGAACAGCTGTGCCCCTGCAGCCCATGGAGGACCATCGGGGTGTAGAGACCCACCTGCAGCCCATGGAGGAGCCCATGCTGGAGCAGGTGGATGCATGAAGGAGGCTGTGACCCTGTGGGAGGCCCAAGATGGAGCAGTGTCCTGCTGGAGACCTGCAGCCCATGGAGAGGGAAGCCCACGCTGGAGCAGGTTTTTCCTGGGTAGGACTTGTGGGCCCCTGTGCGAGACCCACGTCAGTACAGCTCATTTGTGACAGACTGCACCCCATGGAGGAGTGACCCACGGGACAGCAGTTTGGGAAGAACTGCTGCCTGAGGGATGGACTCACATCGGAGAGGTCCATCAAGGACTGTCTCCCATGGGAGGGACCCCACAGGAGCAGGGGAAGGACTCCTCTCCCTGAGCAGAGGCAGAAACGACAACTGACCGTAACCCCCATTCCTGTCCCCCTTCACCGCTGGGGGGAGAAGGAAGAACATGGAAGGAAGGAGGGGTGGGGGGAAGGTGTTTTTAAGATTGTTTTATTTCTCACTCTTTGGCTCTTACCCTGTTAGTAATAAATTTAAATACTATCCCCACTTTGAGTCTGCTTTGCCCGTGAAGGTAATCAGTAAGTGACCTCTCTCAGCTGTTATCTCAACTCATGAATCCTTAGCTGGTTTTTTTTCTCTCCTCTGTCCAGTTACAGACGGAGAGCGAGAGAGTGGCTTTAGTGGGTACCTGGCATCAGGCCAGTGCCAACCCACTGCAGCAGGCTAAGTAGGATGCTTTGAAGATAAGTCAAATAAATCTTTTTGGAAGAGAAACCCATTAGCAGATGACTACTTTTGCAGTGGTGAACTCTTTGGTTCACTAAACAGGTATCAGTCTTAAACTTGTAAAATTAATAGGTATTTGCCCAGGTGGCATGAATTAGACTAGTCTCATTAACTTGGTGGGGCAGGAGCTGGAGATCAGGTATTCTTCCCTCTTTGCAGGAGACTGCAGTTAAGAAAACTCAGTAAACTTGACTTTAATGACCCATTTAATATAATTTGATTTCTTGTCACACATGATTGAGAAATCCTTACATGCAAAAAGACAGAGTAAAAATAGTGAATTTAAAATAGATCCATTTTTTGTGTCTTGGATTCTAGAGCATCGTATTTGCATTTCATGCCTTAACTACATCTAAATCATTACACCATGGTAAGTTCACTACTGTATGGCAATCTTACAGATGTGCAATCCCACTAACATTGTTTTGCCAATGAATTTAGAATTGTAAAGGGGGTGGGGCAAGGGATGGAATGCTTTCCCATTTAATTTCTGACAGGCATGCCCAGAACAATAACTGATCGAAGGAAAAGGAGCTCAAAAAACCGCAACACCTAGTGGCCAGTACTGGGGAAAATTATTAAAGTAGAGGGAAGTGAAGTATAAACATCACAATCTGATCTTGTATGGAGGGGGTGTTTTTTGGTTTTGGGGTTTTCATTTTTGTTTTTGTTTTTTTCTAATTACTTATTAGAAAGAGCCACCTTATCTATAGAGTTGAAGTTCTGTTTCTGGCACTGCTACTGATTTGTGGTGCTCTTGGTTACTTCATAAATGGGGACAACTTCAATTGCAGTCTGTATCAAACAGTCCTTCAATTCAGCCTGCATCTCTGAAAGACAGTCCCAGATTTCCAAATACTGCCATTTCTGTATTAAAATAGCCGGAGAAGAGCCTATCCCTAACAACAGTGTCTGGTAAGAGACTCAACTTCTCTCTATTTGAGTTTCCTCATCTCTGCCCCAGAAATAAAGTCGAAGACATAAGGAAAGAGAGGAAGGGAAAAAAGTGCCCAATCCAGTAAGGTTTTAGCATCCTTTATTTCTGGCCAAGTCCATAGCCCAATGTTCCTTTAACACCTCCATCCAGTTCTGAGAGCAATTTGGTTCATACCAGGATGGTGCTGGTGGTGCTGCCACTGTTGAAAAAAAAAAAAGCCAGGGCAGATTCCCTATAGAAATCTCTATCCTGCCACAAACTAACCTTGGGTGTACTTAATATCAAAGGTTGTTTCCCATGGAAACACTAGAATCACTGGAGAAATCCTGCAAGAAAAGCAACATAGAATTTTTCTGGATGAGAGTCACAACCCAGTTCACATCTCCTTTTCACTGACAGAAACTTAAATCTCCAGTGATGAGAAGAGAGTCACTGCAATGGGAGCCAGGCTCTCAGGTGGCAGACACCAGCCCAGGATACACTCATTTCCACCTTTCCGGGACCTATCAAGAACATCAAATGCAAAACTCTTCTTCCTGCTTTTGCAGAGCCCAGCCCAGCCTGGTTCATGGTAGGGGATCTTTTAATGTTAGATGTGGAAACATTTGTACCGCTTTTCACCTTCCTTAACTGTTAGGCCCTAGAACTGAGAAAAAAAAAAAAAAAGACAAAAAGGCAGGAAAAATACTGCTTGTTAAGTGAGATATTATCTGTGTTTTCTGACTCTTGTGCATGGGTGCCGGATACCGTTTGGTTAAATGTATGTCAGTTCTCTCCTCATTTCAGAACTGCAACTGCTTGCCTCATGAAATATCGCTTTCAGGAGAAAAATAAAAAGTGTGAACTCTGTGTTAGTCACACAGTATTTCAGTTCCTCTAGGAGTCAGCCATGCCTGGATTCCCAGAGGCGGGAATGCCAGCGTGCACGTAGGGTTTGGCTCGCTCACACTAGTTTTATTCTGTCTCGGCCCAGCAGGTCCCTGCCACACCTGAGTCAGCTGCAGCTGCGTAAAGCACACGGCTGCAAGACACCGCCGAGGAGATTATTTCTAGAGAGCTGTTTCACTTCTGGGTTAAAAAACAAAATGCCCCAAAGAAACCCACCAAACCAAATTTATTTTTTAGTTTTTTAAAAAAAAAACCCACAACCAAGTGTGCTAGTGAACCAAGTTACCTAATTCCATGGGCCCAGAGAGTAAGTTACACCTGATAAGCATTACTCATAGAACAGGAAAAATAAATAAAAGCATTTTAAAGCTGACAAGACAAAAAATCTCACACTCCTGAAACTGTGCAATTGTTTGACTGGTTCCCTTGTCATGCAAGGAAGCCTCCCAGAAGCATGTAGAACCCCAGGAGAAGACAAGGGGGAAAACTTTCTGGATTCACCAGTCTATAAGAAAGAAGTAGGAAACATCCCTGTAGCTTCAGATCCTTCACTTTTGAGGTCTAGTAAGAGCTTACAAGGAGCCAGTATCTGTGGAACCTAATCTGACAAGCACTAAACACTGAATTCACAGACTACTCATATCATAAATGAAAGTAAATTAGCAAATTCTTTCTTTGGCCAGTTGTTCACAAATCCAGCTAACGACCCAATGCAACTCACAGCCTCTGCTCACAGAAAGTACCAGATGTTCAGTGGCAGAAATGGCAGGAAGAGTTCAAAGCTGACTTTTTTTTTCCTTTAATCTGTTTGTGTAGGTCTACCTCTTATCAGAGGTAACTTTCTTTTTCAAGAAAATCCTCTCTCATCACAGAATAGTACTATTGCAGGATATGCTAGAAAAGCTACAAGGCACAGCAAAGTACTACACTGGTTCAAATCATGCAAAACTTTGAGAGCTACAAATTATATACACAGATATACATCTATTATGTATATATTTATATACACACAAGCACTCAAAATGGCAAAGTTTCTTGCAAGTCTTCTCTGTCAAGGGAGAAGTAGACCACAAGGAAGGCAAAGTGTTTGACCTTCTAATGCACTCCTTGACTCAAGACAGCATCTCCCACACTGCTCCTCTCCATGTCAAAACAAAAAAAAAGCAACTCTAGTAAGAAATAGCAGGTGTGGAGCTCGAATTCACATTGTTGTAAAGAGTACCACAACAGTTAGGTGTGGGTATCCAGGGTAGTTTTGCTGCTGCAGAGGAAGAGGAGGTCAGCGCTCCTGCCCTAAGGAGCTCACACAAGCAGGAAAGGGTTTCTGCAGCAGGCAGAGGAGCTGGACCTGAATCATGGTGCCTCTCACTGCTCTGAGCAGATCCACAGTGCATAAAGGATTAAAACCCCACTGCTTTGTCTGCTAGGGCCACACAGGTTTCAAGTACGCATGCATAGGACAGGTTTTATTTCATTTACAAGTTTGTTCAGCACGCAACAAAATGGTAATGTGTAAGTATATCCAATATATACACGATTTAAAATTGGTTACCTGAGGAGGGGAGTGCAACATGCCTCCACAGGGCTGACTAGGAATGACTTCCCTATGATAAATGTGACTGGTAATCTTCTGTTGGCATGAAAGATTATTCTATTGCTGCTCTTTCAGACAGAATATGAGTCTGATTTTCAATTCTCAGATGAGATTAAAAGTCCTCGGTTCAAATTTTTGACAAACCTTCCCAAAACTTTTAGAAAGGAGGAAGTAAAAAAAAAAAGAGAGAGAGGGAAAGAAAATTGTATTCATATATTTCAGGAAAACCCAGTGACCTAGTCACCCACACTGTACCTAGACCTTGACGAGCTACCTAGCTATATATACCTGGAGGGTCCACCTATAGCTGGACCCTCGAAGTCCTGAGCCAGCAGTGCCCAAGAGCTGCCTCTTAAGAAAAAGGTGCCTGCCATGAGTGGCCCCAGTGATGGTGGCTATCACGTTCCAGGCTGAACACTAAAAGT